TAGCAAGCAAGCATTTTTGTGCCTAAACTGTTACATTTCCAAGGCCTGGTGATTTACAGACAGAATACCCACCAACGTCATTTCTACAGATAGCCAGCTGCACGAGACAGGGAAGAGCTAGTAAAGCAGAGGAGGGAACCCCCTCCACATTCCAACTGTATGACAGGGCTACCTGACACAAAGAAGATGCATTTGGCACAAAAACTTACACATGCACAGTCTCTCAAACAGGCAGGCTGCCCCAATTTTGGGAGTTTTAAAGCTAGAAAGAAAATCTCTGTGTCTGCAGTCCCAATCTGGGGCTGTACAGCAAAATGGAAGATGAACAGACACTATCCAACTCCCTGATGAAAACCAAACAATGAAAAAGAGAAAAAGATGAGCGGTAAGCTAGAAGTTCCTGTCTCACCAGCAGCAAGAAAGGAAGGGGACAACCGCTCCTCCAGATATGTATCTTCAGAAAGAGCAATTAGAGTTAGTTGTAGGTAAACTTAACTGTAATTAGTAGTGAGGACCAGATGCATGAGCCAAAAATTTCCTGAAATCTAAACTCTTCCAGTGTTAAAGATTCACTATGTCATAAAACAAGTAATGGATGCCGTTGTTAACAATATAAGGTAAATGTTGTAAATTAAGGTTTGTTGTAAATAAATTTGTAAAAAAGTGTGGAACTCACTTAAAAATGTTAGTGAGGGGTACCCAAGTGACCCTCGTGGAAAACAGTTCTGTTGAAACAGAGATGTGAACAACCACATCCACAGCATACCATGCACAGTTCTTTGGGGGCGATACAATTAATGTATCAAGAGTTTTAGTGCTTTCAATTTTCCCCCTTAAAAAATGTAAAGGCACTACATACTGTTATTTTTACATTTAAAAATAATATTCAAATAAAATAATTTATGCACAAACCATTTACTTCATTTATACCCTGCTGTTCTCCCCAAAGCAGTTTACATGGCTATACTCTCCTTTTTATCCTCGCGACTGCCCTTTGAGGTAGACTAAGGTGAGGGTGTGTGACTAGTCCATGGTCACCCAGCAAGCTTCCATAGTAGTGGGGATTCAGTCCTTCAGATTCCAGTCTGACAAATCCCACTAGCTCTCTACATAAAAGCTCTGAATGCATTTACATCACTTTCCCCTAATAAAATAGTTATGTGTTGCCTACTTCAGTGGGGAGGGGAAGGCAGGGTATAAATCAAATAAATAAATAATTAAAATAACATTAGCATAATCTATGTTTAAACATTTTTACTAAATACAAGCTAAAATAAAACATGGTAATCAATTCACATTGATTTCCCAGCATATTTTCAAATTCTTATTTTTTCTGAAAAACTATCACTGAGAACAGCAGGATATAAATGAAGTAAATGATTTATGTAGTTAAAGTAAGGGGAATAATTGAAAGAACGTTTCTTTAAGCAGCAATGATGACACAATTTTAGTGCACCTAGTTTTCTTTATATTGTGGACTCTAAGGAATCTGGATATGCAGCTGTGAGACTGAAAAGCATGGACAGCAACAGCTTTCAGATTTGCAATCCAATACTGCCTGTTTAATCACATCAGACCAGGAGGGCCGTCAGAGCTCACCCTCAGTCTACTATTCTGCAGTGAAACACTTGTGCTGATAGTACACCAACTATTAGCAGATAAAGAATTATGAAAAATATTCCCTAACTCTAATTACAAACTATAGCTAATATGAGCATTACTGCAAATTTTTAAAGAACTTGAAGTGCAAGCAGTCCCACAATTAGTCTTCTCTGGAGAAATTTCTTTTTCTAAACATAGAAAATGAAGATATAGTAAAGTTTTATGAGTGGGGTACCAGAATGGTAGGAAAGTGGAAATACTTGTCATACCTGTAGAAGAATTCCATGCAAATTAACAGCTTTGATCTTGTATAAATGCACATGTGTGACTAACTGACCTCAAAACCCAGGATGCTTAGTGCATCAAAGACAGAGAGCTGGGAGATTAGGGGTTAATGCCTCACTGAAAAGCAGTTTGAGTGACAGGCTGCTGCCTCCTTGAACCCCCTTCTCTCTGATTGGTCAGCATCAACTGAGGAGAGTTTTATAAAATCTTATGAATCTTGTCAGAGGGTCAGTCAGTCATTGTTTGGATTTTGACTTGGCAGTTGCCAGACAGAAGGAAACTTGAGAAGTGAAAGGACACAACTAGTCTTTACTGTACACCAATACATTTGGGAAAAGGTTCAGAAAGAACTGAACATCTAATTGACAGCACTAGCTTCTGAATTCTCTGTTTATTCACTGTCTCCAGAACTGGAGTTAAGGTTTGCCAGAAGAGGTTGGGTAGTTAGTGGAGAAGTGCCAACCCAGCCAAACAGAAAAGGGTTATATCGCTCCTAGGAAAAAGGAGGATGTTCTTTACAGAGTTAGTCAGAGGGTTCAACTCAGAAGGGACCTCTGGTCTAAGAAGTAAAAAGGGAAATGGTCTTAGATTCCTAAAGAGTACAGAAAGGGAAAGTTATAATTCCAAAAGGGAAATATTGATATACAGGAAGAAAGTTCTAACTTCCAGAAAACTAAGACATTGCTATAAAACTTTGTTGCTGTAAGAAATCTCCAAGACAAACAAATCTCTCACAGTAAAGAAGTATCTTAGAATTCAAGCTTCAAGTATTCGCTGTTGCCTGTTCAAGATATTCTTATCTCTCCTTATATATAATTGAGTAGTGGGGTGGCACTTTCTGAATATTCCACACGCCTCTAAATCAGTTGGCTCCATGATGTGTCACTCAGAAGCTGTCCCTATCCACTGGCGGCGCCCGCCAAAACTTTCCTCAGAAGATGGTTGCTCTGCTCCAGTAAACACAGCTATTGTCTTCACTCTCCTTGCCAGATGATTGATTCCCTGAGGGGACAAAACCCACCATCTTTAGCCTCCAAACCAAGTTTGCTGAGGCAACGGAAGAATGGCAGAACGGAAAAAAGCCTGCCAAGTAAACAGTTGTCAGCATGGCAGAGGTGGGGGGACAAGCCCAAGTTATCACAAAAAAGCCAGTGGATACACACACAAGCAGAGATAGAGGATGGGACCAGACACACAGAAAACAGGAAGCCAAAAACCCCAGGCATACTGCAAAGCAGAAATACAGACACAGTCACAGACAGATCTACATAGGCATGCACAAATAGTAGTGCAGGAACAACTGGCTGAAGTGGAGAATTACATATATATTAAAAAAATAGAGTGTGAGAGACACTGGGATAAACCCTGTGAGTGGGGGGAACCTTTAACCACACCCAGAATGTGAAAACCAATTACAAGGAGGCAAACCAACAGAGATAGATACAGACATCCAGATATATATTTAAAGCAAAAAAAAGGATGGAAAAAACAGGAACCCAGGTCAGAGCTTGGCTTCCTGTAGAAATTATAACCAGGTCTTGTTCCTCACTTTTGTGGTCTTGATTTAGCTTTGACCAAGGAGGGAAACAGGCAGAGACAGATACACATAGATATAGTTCAAAGGGGGGGGGGGGAATGTGGCAATAAAGAAGACACACACTACATGTGACAAACTCAGTTAAGTGTGCAAAACATGAAAAATTAGAACACACTTCGACCAGATGTTGAGACAAAAAAAATGCAATGACTCAGATTTACAAAATGCATCCTCACTGGCTAACATGAACTAATGTTTTACTTTGTACAGACTATACTTGACATTGAGAAAACCTAACCAGACAAGACAAAGTAAGAAGTGAGAAGACACACATTACACGTGACAAAGCCAGGTAAGTGTACAAAAAAAGGAAAAATTAGGGGACAGTTGGGCCAGAGGATGTCTTTTCACACTGAAAACTATAGGTTTCACAACACTCATATGTCCATACTCCTCTTTATCATTCTGACATAACCTACTAAGACTTTCGTCACAACCACTCGCTTTCAACCCAACTTCACTTGAGACCTGTTCTATAACAGGGTGGACAGTGCGACCATGACCACATTAAATGACAGGGACGTCCAACATAAAATGACTTTGCAGACTGCCCAGTTCTAGAAATTACTCCACAGAGCCCTGTGTGCTCCATTTTCTGGCCCACATTGTACGACTTTGGACACCAGTTATTGTGTAAAATAAGATATGTAAGACTTCCACATTTGTACCTTTCTATTACATACTGCTAATATGTACTTAACCTGCTTCCAGGCGCTGCATTCGTTTACACATCACATCTTTCTAGAGCTCGTTGTATTGCTTTTACAACGAGCTTTACTGCTAGTTTTCTTATAAAGAACTAGTTTAAAGAAATCATCCACTGCCCTATTCCTGTTACAACTGTGCCTGTTCAATAATATCGACTTTTTTGTTTCAACTTAACTTTGAGTCAAGTGCCATTGTTTCATAAGAGGGCTCTCCTGCTGAGTTACAATAAAAATCTCTGGTCTGAGAAAAAGCCAAATAACTTCTTTAACACTGGGTGGGACCCAAAGAAAGTTATACGTTTATAATTAAAACACGCTACTAAGAGTAGCAGGAAAATCTGCCTCACAGAACAGAAGCAGCAGGAGTCCGTTATAACATAGTAGGAAAACAAAATCAGAAGCAGGACAAAGCAGGGCTTTACTCTCTGTTACTTGCAAATTCACCCATGGATTTCCACAGAGAACTAGAATTATTAGATTACTCACTAATCTGTTACAGCTTGCTGCAGATAGTTGAAATTGTATTAGTGGGTAGTTACTATTGCTGTCATTTAAGAGAAACCTTTGTTCTTAAAGTAACCTTGCATAACAGTGGTCTCTTTGCATTGATTAATAGGATTAGCATTGATAATAGGCTTTAACCTTCCTGGGTCAGTCCAACTTTTGATTTGTATCCTGAGAACTTGCAGAAAAAAGTGTTTTTGTGAGATACAAATAGTCAATGAACCTGGTCAGTCTTGAAGTTACCACATATCTATTCAAGAGTTATCTAGGTGTTTGGAAGTCTAAGCAAGGCAAACATGTTTACTCATTGCAAAAAGCAAACTTTTATTGAAGCATTATGATTTCTGGTACAGATATATTTTTGTACATTTTAATGATTCATGTCTAACACCACAGAGAGAAGTTTTAACACCAAACATCACCTCCTCTTTTGTTCACCCTAGTGTTCATTATTATTCATTCAACAGCTTTCTATCAATGGCTTTTTTTCACCCGAATCTGCATTTTCAGTATCACTTAGAATGGGATCTTCAGTTTAGCAGACCTCAAGCCAACAAGCAGTGCCATTCACATAGGGCACTTCTCAGGAACAAAAAATATTTGAAACATTGGTCCTCAAAATCTAGAACACCCTAAACTTTCAGGTGCTACTTAGAAGCAAATTAGTAATTTTGGTAGAAAAACTATTTTTAAAATAAAAAGTCAAGGTGTTCCACCTGCTTGATTTCCAACCAAGCAGATTTAGTAGTTTAGAAACACTAAAAAAGTGCGTTATTTATGAATACAGAAGGAACAAAATATTGTCATATTCAGAGAATCAAAAACATAGCAAGGACAAGAGTCAAAATTTGTAACAGACTTCCTTGGTCTCACAACAGCTGAAACCCCAAATATCTGCAAGCATACCTGAACACACACGTTCTCAGAAGCTTGCATTTGTTAACTCCATACCCATGAAGTGACTATTTGATGCCTATACCATTTTATTTATGTTTTACAAAGCATTGTACTTCACTGTGTCTACATTCTCCAGATTTTGCTTGCTATAGCAAAAAGCACTCAATGCCTTCTGTGTCATGTAAAAGGAACCACACGTTAATTAGGAAGAAACACAGATGAGGCCACAATATTGTTAAAATTCAGTTAACTATCACATGCACAATGATGTTACGTGAAATCACAGTGTGAAAGGACATATGGTGTTGGATTACTATGAAGTAACATTTGAGCCAGCATATAAATTCACAATAAGAAGTGGGCACTAACAGTTTTGTGCAGTCTCCATAACTAAGTTACATTAAGCAGCACCAATCTCCTAGCAAGTTGGGTTCCGAAAGGCTGCAACTGTATTTGAAGTTTGTGAAGTGCCTGGGACAAGCTCGGGTGTGCCAGCCAAATTCAATGTCAGTACAGCTAAATAGTTGTTCAACAAACTTCCATTAGTTGCTGGGGACTGCCTTTCAGCAAAACATGAACAGTGAACAGAACCGTGATGGTTTTGGCCTAAATTTAAAGACAATAAAAATAACTTGTGACCAATTAGTAAGTTTCCAGATGTAAACAGTTAGTGCATTAAATCAAGTTCATTTTTTATCTTAGGTGGCTCTGGAAAGGTCTACAGGCCTAAAGTAGTAACAAATTTTTACAGAACTCAAACAAAAATAGTAAAGTAGTCTATGTGTAAGTAGTCTTGTTCTATCAGTCTCAATACTTCTAACCAAAAAAAATTGAGCCTGCCATTGAGTTAATAACTCAAAAAGATTTGAGTTTGTATACCGTAACTTCAAGAAATTTTTTAAAAGTCTGAAGTAACAGTATATATTTATTAAAAAATAAGCAACAACTAGCTGTTCCAGATAAGTAGGCTTAGGGTTATTCTAATGAGGACGAAATCCTTGTCTGTGGGGAATTTTTGGTGATACTTGGAGAAAAACTATACTGCATGTAATCCTACTTGAATTGTTTTTACAAGTGTGGTAAAGTTTCATACAGTAAAATTTTTCTACATGAATTTCAATTTCACAGCAAGAGTGAAATAGAATACCTAAACACAGAAGAGAGCATTCATGCAATATATCTAAATTTTTGATATAATAATGCATAAAATTGAAAATTATACTATGATTACATCTAGGGCTTTCTGTGACTACGAGGTGGAAATGAAAAATATGGCCCCTTGAATCATTAACTAGAAAGCAATCACCACCTCCTCTATGGGGTATCTTTTTGCGTTTTTTCTTCATTTCTCTTAATCAACTCTGCTGCTTGTTCTTGGCAAAACTGGTAAAAACGAAGTTGTAGTCATTGAACTGAGCAATCTGACGATCTAGACGCTTAAAACCTTCAATCTTCTGGGCTGAAGAAAACACTGTGCGACATTTTGAGCTCTAGAGGAAAAAGAAATTAGGAATACTTAAAACTCTGAAACAAAAAAAACGCCTAGTTTTACAGTTGAAGCATTATTCCTAATATTTCCAAGTACTAGTCTGTTGCAGCAAGCAATACTATAGTGCCTTTAAAAGACCAATATGTTTATTGTGACTTTTGCAGGACACCGCCCAGATTATGACAATTTTATTGAAAAATCTTCATATTTTACCATATCTCCTTAGACTACCAACACAACACCATGTCACAAAGCTCAATATAAGAAACAAGCCTCATCAACAGGATGAAAACACCAGTCAGATCTCCCAAATTATTTTAATCTCTATCATACTTTGAAATGTAAAATGGTTTTACAACTCTTTACGTGAATTTTATTGAATTGTTCAAAAAATTGTCCATACCCACTCTGATACACCATTCCAAAGCATATACACCAGAAGACTACACAAATTCTTACAAGTGTGGCCAAGAACAACTGTGGAACTCAGCGTTTTTGTTGCAACAGATCAACATCTCCTGGTCTAGAGAAAATGCACGATCAGTAGGATTTGTGCAAAACATCGTCATTAAGTGGCATTTGGATTCTACTGCTAGATTTAACTGTTTGAGTATGGTAATCTCCCTCATAAATAAAAGCCGAATGGTGGTGGCACTCCTCTAGAACATTCCACACGCTCCAAAATCAGTTCGCTCTCTGATCTGTCATTTAGAGGGTCTCCCTATCCACTGGCTGCTTTGCCTGAGTCCATTCTAAACAGTTTGCTGTTCCTCTCCCCCCCATAGCCAGTCAGAACACAGAGGTTATTTGCATATGCAGCCTCACTGGCCTTTGCCTCGGAACAGAGAGGTTGTTTGCATATGCGACTTGATTGGCCTTTGCCTCTAACATTCTAAACAGTTTGCTGTTCTGGGGTAAAATGTGTCCAATCTCCAGGCAAGGGCTGGAGATCACTCAGAATTACAACTGCTTTCCAGATGGCAGAGATCAGTTCCCCTGGAGAAAATGGTGGGCTCTGTATCCTTATATGCTGTTGAGGTGGCCCCCATATGACAGCCAATGTGACGTAGCAGTCAGGGCTTCAGAGCACGGGAGAGGCTGCAGGTGTGTGGGGGGTGGAAAGCTAAAGAGTGAGGGGGAAATAAAGATAGGTTGATGATTGGCTGTGAAGGAGATAGGGTTGCCAACTCCAGGTGGGAAATTCCTGGAGATGTGAGGGATGGAGCCTGGAGAGGGTGAGGTTTCAGGAGGCGTGGGACCTCGGACAGGTACAAAGCCATAGACTCCACCCTCCAAACCAACGATTCCCTTCTGGGGAACCATTGTTGCCAATCTCCAGCTGAGGGCTGGAGATCACTCAAAATTACAACTGTTCTTTAGGTACCAGAGATCAGTTCCTCTGGAGAAAATGGTGAACTCAGTGTCATTATACCCTGCTGAGGTTGCCACAGCAAAGGTCGGGGCACTGCCCAGAGCCTCTTTCTAGAGGTCGTTGCATTTATTTCCACAACGGGCCTTTTTCCTAGTAAAAATATATTTTTTCTTTTAAACAGACAAGGGAACAAGTTCCATTAATATTTTCACCCATACATCCCAAAGTAGATTTACCTGATTAACAAAGAGGGTTGTCACAAATTTTCCTGGTTTAAAAATATCTATGACCTTTCCAATTAGGTCATCATAGGATGTCTGACTTATGTTTGTTTCAAAACTAACATATGAAAACTCTGGTTCTGGAGTGATGTGAATAGTCCAATAAGTTCCCTAGAAAAAATAAAGGAACTCTGTTAGACATTTCAATACAGTATTACTTTAAGATGTGAATAATCTTTGAGGAACAGCAAAAAATATAATACTCACATCTGATTTCATCCCATTCATTGAATACCCACAAGGATTGAACATTGTAGCATCAATGACAGAACCTGGTATCAGGTCACGAATTCCACTCACCTAAAAACCAAGAACAATGTAACTCTTACTAAATAAAAAACTTGTTTAGTTAATGGGACAGCCAAGATGTAAGCCAACACACAGGATTAATTCTTGGTGTCCAGTCTAACAGGCCACCTATTTGTATACTGATTGTGCCTGTTTTGACATATTAAGGCAGTTTCATGTGTGTGCATACACAGCTATATGTGCCTAATAAGATGTCTAGTGTGGTTAGACATGACACAGCTACTCTCCCCCACACCAACAAGTGTGGTTAGACATGACACAGCTACTCTAAAAGCAGCAATTAGTTGCTTAATTATTCATAGATAATGATTATACTGTTGACAACTATTACTTTAGCTGACTCCCATGCATCTTCTGACTCACTGCACCTGAACTGTTCACATCCCTTCTGAAATGGATCAAGGTTAGAGGTCAGATTTTTTAATGTTGTTAGCAGCCTTCTCCAGCTAAACCTAAGTGTCTCTTAGGTGCACTATCCTTTAAACTGATGGTATTTTCTTCTGACCACCATAGTCACATGACAGGAACACAATTAAATCCTAAAGCATGCAATGACTTAGCAATGATTATAATTCATTTAATTTGACTGAAACCCTTAATCACCTTAGTTCTACCACAGAAAACATTACTATTCTCCCCTTCTCTGCCTTTCTTGGAGAGATGGGGAGGGGGAGAGAAAGGAAAACAGGGGTTGCACTTACCTGTAACCTTTGTTCATCGAGTGGGCTTCTGTGCAGGCACACATGGGACAGCAATACTGCAGGCCAGCCACCGGGAGGAACTAGCGAGCTCAATAAAGTTAAAAATCTACCCGAGAGTGCTTGGCTCCTACTATGGATTTCAACTTCCCACCCAAAAGTCATGTGACCTGGGAGGAGCCAGCACTCTCCCATCAGTTCTCCATAGCCACCACTTAGGAGCATGAGACTCCCACAATGGGGGAGAAGGAAGGAATGTGTGCCTGCACAGAAGCCTACTCAATGAATAAAGGTTACAGGTAAGTGCAACCCCGGTTTTCATCTTCATGGCTTTTGTGCAGTCCCACATAGGAGAACAGCAAGTTCACTTACTTCGGAGGAGGGAGTGGGAGATCTCAACGAAAAATTGATTGCAGAACTGCTTTTCCCACAGATGCCTCTGAGAGTTGACGTCCATGGCATAATGCTGCACAAACGTCGAGGGTGTCAACCAGGTCGCTGCTCAGCAGATGTCCAGAAGCAGTACACCAGACTAGAACGCTGCTGAAGAAGCTTATGCACATGTGGAATCAGCCGACACTATAGAGGGACACTGTGCACCCACAGCTACATATACCAACTTAACTGTGATGCAAATCCATCTAGCAATAGTTTGCGATGAAGCTGCTTGATCTTTCTTGTTACCCCCAAAACAGATAAATAAAGAAGGGACCTTATGAAATTGTCGTGTTCTGTCCAAATAAAAAAGTAATACTCTTCAAACATGAAGGGTATGGAGTGTCTGTTCAGCTAACGATGTGGGGGACGGAAAAAACACAGGTAAGTTTATGACCTGTATCATATGGAATGTAGAGACTACTTTAGGGAGGAAGTCAATGCAGGGGCAGAGGACCACCCTATCCTTGTGGATTTGGAGGAAGGGCGGCTCTGAGGACAAAGCAGCCAGCTCCCTCACTCACCTGGCAGAGGTAATGGCTACGAGGAATGCAACCTTATAGGAAAGGAAAGACAAGTCACACATAGCCATTAGTTCAAAAGCTTTATGAATAAGTTTAGCCAACACCAGTGCTAAACTCCTTTGCGGAACTGGGAACTTAGAGGGCAGGTACAAATTATTCAACCCCCTTAAAAAGCATTTAGAATCTACAGATGCAGACACAGAGGTACCTCCAATGGGCACGTGATATGCAGAAATCACTGCTAAGTACACTTTAACAGAGGTATTGGTCAACTCTTTGGCCTTTAGATACAGGAGGAATTCTAGAATATGAGGGAGGTTGCAGGTGGAGGGATCCAAACCTCTAGAGGCAAACAGAGAAAACTTCCCTGTGTATGATCTCCTAGTGGAAGGTTTCCTGGCTGCCTGAATCACCCTACGAACCATGGGGTGGGAAGAGGTGCCAGTTGTATGAACCATGCTGTGAGCTTGAGAGAACGTACGCCAGGGTGTGGAACCTGGTGACCGATGAAGAGGTCTGACGTTAGCAGGATCCTGTGATACTTGCCCCTGGCAAGAGACCACAGTTTGGGGAACCACGGTCTTCGAGGCAAAAATGGGGCTATGATGATAGCAGTAGTACGGTCTGTATGCGCTTTGGCAACTACCCTGTTCTATTCAATCAAAGCTGGAATGCATCCCCTAGAGCACCTATGTCAGCCCGGGAACAAAATCAGGCACATTTTGTGTTTGTAGTGGAGGCAAAGAGGTCGATCTGTGGCGTACCCCACTGTCAGAATAAGGGGTCTAAATATGCATCTGACAGAGTCCAATCTTGGGCCGTTTGGAACTCCCTGCTGAAGATGTTGGCATGGGTGTTCAAATGTCCCGCTATATGTATGGCCGTAAGATGTGTCCCATTTTGTATGGCCTGGTTCCAGAGAAAGGAAGCTTCTCTGGTGAGAGCTAGGGAGGCAATGCCCCCTTGTCCGTTTATATAGCACTGAACTGTGGTGTTGTCTATATGAAGAACACTGCACCCTCGCAGAAGACCTGCAAAAGAAGAGAAACCTCTCCTTACTGCCCTAAGTTCTAACAGATTAATATGCAGAGTGGTCTCTGATGCTTCCCAACGGCCCTGTGCTAAATTACCCACACAGTGAGCCCCCCAGCCTGTGAGAGAGGCAACAGTAAACAATTCAATGTCATGCATGCGGAAACCAAAGGGCGCCCCCTTTTGCAAATGCGGTAAATGGGTCCGTCTCGGAGTATGCTTCGGGGAATAGTGAGATGTTGCCCAGGGTTATCTGTGTGGGCACGAAAGATCCTAAGGAACCAATTTTGAAGTGGCCCCGTGTAACCTGGCAAAAGGCGTCACCCGCTACAGGCGTCCTAGTAGGCATTGTAGAAATGTGGCTGAACTCCTACGGTGCAACTGCAGGGACTGCACCAGGCGCGTAATATGCAAAGTGTGTGGTTCAGATAAAAAAGCTCTCCCCACAGAGGCATCTAAGGTTGCACCAATCTTTTGAATAGGTTGAAGCTTGGATTTTGTAAAATTTACTAGCAATTCAAGAGACTGCAGCATTGCGAGGGTTAGGGCTAGATTGACGGAAAGCCTGCTTGAAGAATCCACTACGAACAGCCAGTCATCAAAGTAGGGATAAACCACACAACCTCGAAGATGGAGGTGGGCCACCACCACTGACAGGCATTTGGAAAACACTTTGGGGGCTGACGCCAGACCAAAAGGTAACACTGAGTATTGAAAGATGTGCCCAGCATGGGCAAACCTTAAATACTGCCTACAGTCTTCATGAATCAAGATGTGAAAATCTGTCAAATCCATGCTGGCAAGCCAGCAATCCTTGTGAAGTAATAAGATAACTTCATGTAACGATAACATGCAAAACTTAGGCTTTGATAGATATTTGTTAAGATGGTGGAGATCCAGTATGGCGCGTTGACCACCATCCTTTTTCTCTATAACAAAGAAGGGGGAATATCTGTCTGATGTTATCTGTCTGATGGACCTGAACAATGGCCCCTTCTTTCACTAACAATTGTGCTGCTGGTGACAGTGTGTGTGTGTAGATGCCATGGACTGAGGAAGGACATGGTGACACCTGGGGTAAGATGCAAACTCCAAAAAATAACCTTGTTTTATCAATAAAACCCAACTGTCATCATAAGAACATAAGAGAAGCCAATGTTGGATCAGGCCAATGGCCCATCTAGTCCAACACTCTTT